GTCTGAAAATATATATTTTTAGTTGCATGCATACCTGAAGGGGAAATACCCGGTCAAGAGATGGGCTTACTGTATCTTGAGTTTTAGGCCTACCTTTTTAGCCCATTAACTGGCAAACTCAAAAGTGGATAGGATTTTTCCCCGAGACGAGACCATACGCGAACACTTGCGTTCTGCTTTCACTACCCTTTTCTCTTGCTGTGAATCAATGGCGTCTTCTTCTCTATCAACCCTTTGCAGCTCCACTTCGTCTTCTCTGCATCCCAACTCTAAGCTCTCACATTCTCTTTCTTCTAAATTATCCTCCAAAGCAAATGTCTCCGTCCAGTTTCTGGGAAAGAAACAGTCCCCACTTCTCTCCTCAACACCGAGATTCCTCACAGTTATCGCCATGGCTCCTCCCAAACCCGGAGGCAAAGCCAAAAAAGGTACAATTTTTCCACTACCCATTTCCTTAAAACCCACAATTTTCATATTCTCGAGACTCAATTGCGTTACTTTGTTGGGAATTTCGCAGTTGTTGGGGTTATAAAACTTGCTTTAGAAGCCGGAAAAGCAACTCCGGCACCACCGGTTGGTCCGGCGCTTGGTTCGAAAGGAGTCAACATTATGGCTTTTTGCAAGGATTACAATGCTCGAACCGCTGATAAAGCCGGTTATATCATCCCCGTTGAAATCACCGTCTTCGATGTTGGTTTTACTTCAAAACCCTAATCTTTATATCCGGTTTAAATTCAGCTAGAGAAGAGTAACACTGTGGTGATGCAACTTGTGTTTGAGCTAGCTTTTGAATAGTGATCTATGAGATGGTTTTATAGAGTTTACATTGTGTGGTTGCAGGATAAAAGCTTTACCTTTATCCTCAAGACCCCACCTGCTTCGGTTTTGTTGCTTAAGGCTGCAGGTATTTCTTTTGTCTAACCCGAATAAGTACCATTACCTAGTGAATGTGCATTTTGATAATAGGGTTTTGCCTCTATTGAAATGATCATCGAAAGGCGCTTTCTTGAATCTTAACGTGCTTTTACTGAGCTGCATAGCTTGAGTTTTGCTAGGTCATTGCTTGTGCTTCTTCTTAAACTTTAGAAACTCGAATATATAGCGTGGAGCAATAACAATTGGCAAGAGAATCATGTTTTGTTATGTAGTTTTTTCTCAATGTGAATCGATTTATATGATGGTATATGAGGTGTGGCATCGATGATATTTCCTTTCACTTCCCTGGAGTTTTGTGATGTTTATTTGACACTATTGAGTTGTGATAATAGGTGTTGAAAAGGGATCGAAAGATCCGAAGCAAGATAAAGTTGGGGTGATAACAATAGACCAACTGCGCACAATTGCGGCAGAGAAGCTGCCCGATCTGAATTGTACGACAATTGAATCCGCTATGAGAATCATTGCAGGAACTGCAGCTAACATGGGGATAGACATTGACCCTCCTGTTCTTGAACCTAAAGTGAAAGCAGCTTTGTTGTAAAAGCCTGCAGGGTAGGTTTTCATTTGGTAATGCCTTATTCGTTTCAAAGTGTAATTTCCACAAGACAGTTGAGAGTTTCACATAAAGATTTATTTCTCGTATTTCACGGTCTTGGTGCAACATGTGTGGTATATCTTTATCAAAAATGAAATTCAGAGGTGCCACACTTGAAATGCATGACTGGTTACAGTCTCAAGAATTGGTAAGGTGTAACAATTGCGTATAGGAAGAAACAAATCTAAGAGAAAATGGATTACTTAAACGGCAATGGGGTTGAAGGAAAGAGAATTCAGTTTAGATGAGCTGCATCCGTGAGAATGGCGAGGCTGTTGGCTTTATTGCCACCAACAACTTCAAGCCCCCCATGAAGACTAGACAAAATATCATTACGGCTGAGTGTTTCTTCTTAGAGGTTGATCGAGCCTTAATGTTCCCAAAACTGTTTCGGACGACATGAAAGAGGGATCGTTCAATGTCCCAGAAGAAACTCTTAAGCTGCAACTCTCAGCTGTTTAATCTTTCGAGCCGCCGAAAGTTATTTATGGTATCAAAGCCTACAGTTTTGTCATTCTCACAGATGGGGCTCATCTCCGCTCAGACATTGCTTGTTTTAGCCTGAAAGAACTGGGCATTGTAAAAGCCGTAGCCCGGTAGAGGCCATAAACATAACAATATATCGATTGTTATGAACAGAAAAATCAAAGTCGACCAGAAATGAACAGACCCATATGTTACTCAAATAAAAGATTCACACGTGAAAGACATGACTGGTTACTTTCTTGCTCAACAACCTCAAGAAGTGGCATCAACTTGTCATGTTACAGAGAAACTGAATTATTTATGGCAATTCCCTTTCTTTATGTATTCTTCCCTTTCTTTCCCACTAAACACACCCAAAGCTTCATCTCTATTCACTTCATCTTCCTCTGCTTTTGTTTTCTCTGATAATTATCTATGGAAATTGAGCTATGCCAAGAGAGTAGTTCGAATGTAGTAGATAGGGGAGAGAGTTCAAATGTAGTAGATAGAGGCCAAAGAGAGATGGAGATCAAGAGCTGTGGAGAGGATTTTTTTGATACGGAGACAGTACTTTAAAAGACCTTAAGGAGCGTAACATGTCGAAGAGAAAACTCATAGTAGCCATACTACTGTGCTCGATCTTCATGGTAGTGGAATACGTTGGCGGAATCAAAGCTCATAGCTTGGCCCTTCTCACGGATGCAGCTCACCTAATAGTGGATGTTGTTTGCTTTGCAATCTCTATCTTTTCTCTCTATGCATCTGGAAGGAAAGCAACACCAAGGCTGAGCTACGGGTATTTCAGAATCGAGATTCTTGCGAATCTTGTTTCTATACTACTTCTTTGGGCTCTCACTGGGTGGATTGTCCATGAAGCAATCACAAGGCTAAACCATAAGAAGAGAGAAACCAAAGGATCTCTTATGTTTGGAGTTGCTTCCTTTGGCCTTATCGTCAACTTCGCCATGGTTTTCTTGTTTGGCCATCATGATCACCATAACCAGGAAGAAGATGGAGGCAGCACCGAGGTTTTGGTGAATAACGGAACCTCAGAGGGAGAAGAAGCTAAGAACATTAATGTACAAGGAGCTTATCTTCATGCAATTACAGATTTAATCCAGAGTGTAGGAGTGACGATAAGTGCTGGATTTATCTGGTGGAAGCCGAAATGGAAAATTCTTGATCTGATCTGCACAATGATCTTTGCGGTTCTGGTATTTGGAAGAACCATATGTACCGTGGTGAAGCTATTTGGCATTCTGATGGAGATAGCTCCAAAAAAGATCGATTGTACTAAATTCGCCGAGGGTCTCTGCGGGTATGGAAGAAGTCATTTCGGTCCACGAGCTTCACGTTTGGGCTATAACGATTGGCAAAGTTTGTTTGACTTGTCATGTTAAGATCAAGCACGATGCAGACACAGACGCAATGCTTGACAAGGTTATAGATTACATTAAAAGAGAGTTTAAAATCAAACATGTAACTAGTCAAATAGAACGCGAACATAATCCTTAGTTCTTGATGCTATTATTACGCGTTCTTGTGGAACTCTATAGCTGAGAAACAAAGAGATGTAAATGGAACTTGGACACTAGAGAACCCGGAGAGGTGAGCTAAGATGTCGAA